GGTGGCCCCGCCCCTGTCTGCCGGAAGTGGAGTGTTGGGCGGGGCCGGGGGCGGGGGCGGCGAGGGAGGAGCGTGCAGCGCCCCGGGGTGACACCGGGGGGGGGCGTCACGTCACTCGAGCCGGAAGTGGCGTGAGGCGGGGTGGAGTCTGACCCTGTTCTGGTGTGCGTATTGTAATGGGTGTGTGGGTTTTGTGTTGTTTGTGGGTGAGGTGTGTAAAGGAAAGCTGATAGAAGGGAGATATATATATTTTTACAAAAAAGAAAAACTTTTTTGTAAAAATATATATATCTGATCCCTTGTGGCTTCTCTCACCAGCATTAGAGATCAGGCTACTCCTGTGTCCCCAGTAGCTGCATGCTAAGAATGCCCTGCCAAGGCTTATCACCCCCAGACCCTAGCCATAAGAGTCCATTGGTATCAGATGCTTGTTTCTAGAGGCTAATACTCTGTGTGCCTACCTGTTTTATGCAGGTGCAGCTGTGTGATGCTGGTGCTTGATAGATGGGTGTTCAAGTAATGCTTGTAGCATCATAAGAGAAGTAGGGCTGGAAAGGACCTCCATAGGTCATCTAGTCCTGCCTCCTGCCTAAGGCAGGATCATCTCTATCCAAACCATCCTACACTTCATGTAGGTACCTCTGGCATTATCAGCTGTGTACTGTAGCTAGCCCCCCATATTTCTGCTATCCTTTCTGCTGGACTTGGGATAGGTTTGAGAGTGATGAAGACTCTGGGTGAAATATTGACTTCATGGAAGGCTAAAGGAGCAGGAGGAGCAGACTTTGCCAAATAACTGGACTCTCTCAAAACTGGCTGGGTGCTGGTGCTTGTTTTCTTGCAGTACCAATATAATGGAACCATGGAGGATGGAACTGAGCTGGGAAGCTAGGAGAGAAGTGCCATATCTGCGATACATACATAATGTAGTCTTATCTATAGGCCAGTTAGTCTTATCTCGATCCTGGGTAAGTTTTTTGAGAGAATTATCCTGGCGTATGTCCACGAGGGGCAAGCAGGGGAGGTTATGCTTAGGGGCAACCAACACGGGTTCATTAGAGGCAGGTCCTGTCAGACCAACCTGGTGGCCTTCTATGACCAGGTCACTAAATCCTTAGACGCAGGGGTAGCAATGGACGTAGTCTTTCTGAACTTCAAGAAGGCCTTTGGCACTGTCTCTCACCCCATTCTCATTAAAAAACTAGGGGGCTGTGGCGTCAACACCCGCACAGTCAAATGGGTCGCTAACTGGCTGGAGGGCCGCACCCATAGAGTGGTAGTGGATGGGTCATTTTTGACCCGGAGGGATGTGGGCAGTGGGGTCCCCCAGGGCTCGGTCCTCGGACCCATGCTGTTCAACATCTTCATCAGTGACTTGGACAAGGGGGTAAAAAGCACCCTATTCAGATTTGCTGTTGACAGTAAGATGTGGGGGGATGTGGGCATGCTAGAAGGGAGGAATAGGCTGCAATCAGACCTAGACAGGTTACAGGGGTGGGCAGATGAGAACAGGATGGGTTTCAACACTGACAAGTGCAAGGTGCTGCACCTGGGGAGGAAGAACCAGCAGCTTACCTACAGGCTGGGGAACTCCCTTCTCGTCAGTGCAGAGGCAGAAAAGGATCTTGGAATCATTATTGATGCCAAAATGAACATGGGCCGACAGTGTGGGGACATGGTCAGGAAGGCCAACCGCACCTTGTTGTGCATCCACAGATGCATTTCAGGCAGGTCCAGGGAGGTGATCCTCCCCCTCTATGCAACACTGGTCAGGCCGCAGCTGGAGTACTGCGTCCAGTTCTGGGCACCGCACTTCAGGAGGGATGTGGACAGCATTGAGAGGGTCCAGAGGAGGGCCACTCGCATGATCAGGGGGCAGCAGGGCAGGCCCTACGAGGAGAGGCTAAAGGACCTGAACCTGTTCAGCCTCCACAAGAGAAGGCTGAGGGGGGATCTAGTGGCCTGTTACAAACTAGTCAGAGAGGACCAGCAGGCATTGGGGGAGTCCCTGTTCTCCCGAGCACTACCAGTAGTGACTAGAAATAACAGTCACAAGCTGGCAGAGGGTAGATTCAGGCTAGACATCAGGTGCTACTTTACAGTCAGGGCAGCTAGGATCTGGAACCAACTTCCAAGAGAAGTGGTGCTGGCTCCTACCCTGGGGGTCTTTAAGAGGAGTCTGGATGAACACCTTGCTGGGGTCGTTTGACCCCAGTGCTCTTTCCTGCCATGGCAGGGGGTCAGACTTGATGATCTGTCAAGGTCCCTTCCGACCCTACAAACTATGAAACTATAAAAACAAAACCAAGATTTCTCAGCTTCTTCTGGGCTAAATATCTGAAGTCCCAGACTTGAGAGTCTTGGGTGGAGGATGCTTGCCTGTAGTTTCTGGGGCCATTGGAATCCCAAGACCTCCGGGCTTGGGCCTGCACGTAGGATGTCTGCCAGTGGATTTGGAAATATCTGACCACCTCCTCTGGCTCTGCATCTACGCCAAGGAGGTGTGGAAAATGGTAAAGCGGGTCTGTGAAGCAGTGACCGGGGTCAGTCGGCTGACCAGAGAGCTGGCGCTGTACAAGCACCTCTCCAAACATTAGGGAAGCCTGTCAATCCGTGTCAACCAGCTGGCATCCTGCATCAGGAGCGCCTTGTGGAAAGCTAGGAACCTACTGATGTACAAACACATGGATATAGAGGTGGTAGACTGTATTAAAATGGCTCTGACGAACTCTAGACCTACTACCAGACAGCGATAGCAGAGGATGGTGAGGATGCGGCCAAAGGCACCTGGCAGAGAGACACTTGGCACAGGACCTTCCAACCCGCAGCCCCCTCCCCCCCTCCCCCTGCAGCAGGGAGCCGGACTGTGACAGTGAAGAGGAGGCAGAGATGACCGGATCTGAGGACAGCAACAGCGACAGCAGTGAGTCCTCCAGCAGGAGCTGGAGTGACAGCAACACAGACAATGGGTGATCTGAGTTTGTGACCCTGTCATCATGTGGTGATGAAGGGACTGTGCTGTCTGGTCTGAGAGACCAGCGGACTTGTGTGTGGGTGCATATGTTGTAATGATTTTGAGTGGCCAGCGGCCCTTTGTACAGGTGCATGGGTGCAGATTTTGTGACGGGTTTATGGTTTTCCCTTTTGGTGTGTGACTAGGAGTATAGATATATATAACTTTATGGATATATAGAGATATATATTTTATAATAACCCCCCTCCCTCCCCAGGTGAGAGCCTGGGACAGATCGCTGGCCAGTTGTAGCACCATACATGGTGTTTAGAATGATTGAGTTCTGCCTGGTCAATCAATATGGTTTCTGGAACGATTTAATTCTGTTCATATGATATGATTTGAAACTGATTTGGCTGATTTGACCTAGAACACTAAAGATATTAATAAAACAAAACAAACCAAAAAACCCTAGAGATTTCCCTCTAAGCTTAAATATCTCCTCAGCCACCCTCTGATATTTCTACTTTGATGGTGTAATGCTTCCATCTAGTGCAAATTCCACCTTGCAGGCAAACCCTGGCCCTACAGTTGATCATTCTTCTGGCCACCTACCAACCACGTTCACTCTCAGACTTATCCTTCTCACCACGGAGCTCCATCTAACAGTCCCTTTGGTGCTAGCAATCCCCTTTTGAGTGCAGCTAAATGCTCAGATCCTCTGATCAGGGAGGCAGTGTAGGAAAGGACCAAAAACAGTTTTGTCTCAAAACATATTTCAGCGCTTTATTTTCTATCAAGAACAATTAGATCGCAGGCAGGTAATAAAGTGCAAAGGCTCAACAGAATATGTCAGTGCAAACTGCTTGTAGTGTTTAAGCTCTCTAGGAAAACAGATTAATGACATCAGGATTCAGGCAGAAAGACGGGCTGTTTATGTAAGGAGCTGGTGTGGGCCGGCGGCTTGAGTATTGGCCTGGAGCACAGGAGACCTGGGATCTATTCCTAGGCTCTTCTAGGTGACCCCTCCCCCAGGCAAGTCTCTTCTCTTCTCCGTGCCTCAGTTTCCCCAACTCTAGGATGGGGCTAATGGTGCTAACCCTTCTGTCTAAATGCTGAGCTCCATGAATGAAAGAGGGATTATCTTGCAGCCCCTTGCTCTGAGGCACATGCTAACTACAGTGGGTCAGAAAAAGGTCATTGGCCATAGGCAGGTTTCCATAATTACCTGTGGGGATGGGGATTCCTGCTCTTCCTTTGGAGGAGACATGGTTCCTGAGGGACACAAGACTAGTCCTGTCCCTGTCCCAGTAATTCCTGTGGTTCTGTCCATGTAGGTCTTTACATCATACTAGTCCCCAAGCCAGAAAGCAGCACAGCCTGAAAAGGACTACGTATGTGCGCCAGGTTTTAGGCACAGCTGCTGGGAAACATGTACAGGCTTCACCAGTGCTTGTATTTTGCACGTTTTCACTTACAGCTTGTTTGCACAAGCAGCCCAAGGACCTGAGTTGCACACCCCACTTGCTGGGGTTTAGGAAAACCAAAGGCTTATACCTCTGACAAGGACACAGGAGTTTTCAGGGTGCTGTCCAGTTCAGGATCCTGCAGCCATACCCAGCCCCAGCTACTTCAGAGGAAAATGCAGAAACCATGAAGCAGCTACAAGATAACACGACCCCAGACAAGGCTGTCTGTGCTCGGAAGCAGGAGAGCACATGCATTTATAAAACCCCGGCTCTCGCAATGCAAGATGTTTTTGCCCCCTGTGGCAAGCCCCACCTCTGAATCCTGCTCAGCCTGGGCGGTGTCTGGTGGCAGTAATACTGACTGTGCTCTGTGCCCAGGGAACCCTAGGCATGAGCTGCCTGTGAGTGCATTGGCTTCACTTTGCTTCTGTTCTGTTTGGCACAGCAGCATGGAAATCTGTGCCAGCACAAACCAAGCCCCATTACAGCCAGCCAGGGCCAGATCAAGCCCCTCTCACTCAGAGTGACCAAGTCACTCATAGAGCTACCACTCATTCTGAACAACCTGCAGGATCTGGCCCAGAGTGCTTTGCAATCCCAGTCTCTACTGAAGCCAACTACTCTCCCCAGTTCCCCCTCTGCAATTCCACGCCATTTCAGAGCCTCTGTGCTGGGGGAGGTGAAGTGTCCTCCCCCTTCACCGGATGTAACCTTCCAGGGGGAGGCGCAGGTAATCCCTCAGGGCCAGAGGCAGGTTCAGGCGGGGGATGACTGAATGGCACCGAGCTCCCAAGTACTTCCGCACAGTGCAGCGTGCCAGGTGCTGCAGCTGGCGGGGCTGGTTCGTCATCTGCAAAGCGGAGTCATAGAAGGCCTTGTGCTCCTGCCAAAACAGGAAGGGATTCAGTGCAGTTGGGCCCAATGTGGGTTGTGTCAGAAGATGAACGCACACCATATTTTTCAGCATAGCTTGCCCCCTCTCCGCCTGCCCAGAAGCAAATCCCCCAGGCATTACCTCTGACCTGGTCCTCTCTAGAAATGTGAAGGCCCTCAGCTCCATTGAAATTCACCCTGCATCTCCTTTTCTTCAGAAACTTTCCTCTCACCGGGAACTCACCAGCCTTTATGTTTTCTCAGGATCTGGGAGCTGCTAGTCCATGCCTTTCCCTTGAATCAATGGGGGACTGGTCCCCAGGGAGGACTGGCTTATTCCAGGGAAACTTGACCCCCAGATGCCACAGCCAAAAGACTTTAGTCACTAGGGGAGAGCTCACTGAAGGCCTGGGCTCTGAGGTTACCCAGGGTAAATGCAGGCCGTGAGTGTGCTAACAAAGCCCCCATTTGGAGCCTCATGCTGTGGGTTTCAGACTGCTGCCCACCACTATCACGTCTGAGCCCCTTGCACATAAAGACAAAACCCAGCAAGCAGTCTTGAGTCTGCTGCTCAGTTGGGCTGATCATCACTACTTTTGTGCTAATTGCACCTGGTGCAAAAATAGTATAGGTGTCTTCTAGCCATCTCACCTCATCCTGTGCCAGGGGCACCCATGGGCAGGCATTCAGCTGGCAAGATCCACAGACTGGGAAGTTGTGTGTGGTGGGGGGGCAAAGGTGGAGCGGGCTGCAGAGAATCAACCCTTTTCATGGGGGCTGATGACGGCCGACATACGAGAGAAGCTTGCCTTGCTACCACCTCAGCTGTATTTAATTTGCAAACAAAGTCAGGCTGCAAGAATGCCCCACCCCCTGCACCGTTCCCCATCACCAGATCAGCTTCCCTGCATGCAGGGCACTAAGCAGGAGACTGGAGTTACCTGCCACATTTCAGGTGGCACTGCTTCCACCCAGGAGTCACAGGACAGGATCCGGTCATAGGAGTTCAGCAACACCTCCAGGGCCCGGGGGCACAAGGAGCAGAACTTCAGCATCTGAGGACCACACGGGCATGAAGGGAAGGGCAGAGAAGGAGAAGAGAAATACAGGGTACACCTGGTGAATAAGAAGCTACAGAGCCAGATAGCGAGGAGACTGCTGCCTCTGTCAGGGAGTGTGGGGGCTCCCTGCAGTCATGGGTTCAAACCCTAGCAAGCCACTTGCAAATACTAAGCTCACTGTTTGCAGGCCCAAGCCCTGCTCTGAGTACAGCCAGCCCCATGCTCCTACCCAGAGTGGGTGCCTTTGTACAGTGCTGCAGCATATGTATACAAGGGGCTTGAGGCCCTACAGAAGACACGGTGCTGTGGGAATAGCTAGGCTGAGCATAGCCACCCTGTGCTAAGGGCACAGTGATAATGCCAGAGAAGCAGTTTCTTCCTCACCTCAGGAAATGACAGCTGGCCTCTGTGTGCATAACCTTGACCACTGGGCACAAAGGGAACCTTGTACCACATGGTGGAGATGAAGAAAGCCTATTATCCACCCATTCTCCCTCAGCACACAGCTGTGGAGAAGGGGGGGTAGGCATATGTGCATGTCTCTTGCTGACAGCCTGGCTTCTTTCTGCTCGGGGGCCCTGAGTGCTTCCCAGCTCACAGCGTGGGGGAAATCAGAGCCAAGCCTGGCATGTTCAGCAAGGACCGGTTTCTGTGGTGGGTGAGCGAGACAACATTTCCATTGTGCGGATGAGGAAACAGATGCCTTGTACGCGCGGCCAGTCAGGGAAGACAGAACCTGGAAGCTCCGGCTCCTCCCACGTCTCCTTCCTTTAACCACTGGACCTCCCTCCTCTCCCAGGGCAGGGACTACAACCCAGGAGTCCTAGCTGGCAGGCTGCACAGGGGCCCTTCATGGCTGTTCTCCTCACCAGTGAGCGGACCCCTACCTTGGGGTTGACAGGTGCTGCCCCGTGATCCAGCAGGGCAGCGATGACCCTCTCGGGCTGCCCCTGGTGGTAGTCCTCGACAGCCTGCAGCGCGCAGTCCATAGGCGTGTAGCCAGCGCAGTTGGCTACATTGACATCTGCCCCGTGCTGCAGCAGCAGCTCCATCAGGCGGAGGTGGCAGTTGCTACAGGCATTGTGGAGTGGGGTATGATTCTTTCTGCCTGCTGTCCTGGCATTGGCCCCAGCCTCCAGCAGCCTACGGACCGCACGGTAGTAGCATTCAGCCTCCTCAGGCCGATCGGCACCAGCGCAGGCGGCATTAAGGGCCGTCTCACCCTCCTGGTTGCGGCGGGAGAGGTCAGCGCCGTAGCACAGATATAGCCTCACGTGCTCATCCAGGCCATGCTTGGCAGCCACATGCAGCGGGGTTGTCCGCCTGTCCTTGGTGCTCAGGTTCACCAGGGCCCCGTACTCCAGCAGCAGCTCAGCACACCTGCGCACACACGCACATATACAGAGGCAGGGTATAAACGTGTGTGACCAAAGGCAACAGCGGGGCTTGCCCCATGGGAGAATGTGGGCATGGGTCATCCCAGGACACATGTCTGTATGCAGAGGGAGAGAAACTGGGCTGGGTACTAGCTGTGAGGAGGGTGCCTGCAGCCTGGAATGGGCAGGACCATACTCAATGCACGTGGTACTTTGAGCTCCCCAGGGACTGTGGCATTTTCCCCTGGTACAGGCTCCCTGTGTCACCAACCATCCTTCCAGAGCTCCCACCACAAGCCTAGCCTAGAATAATTTGTTGGGCACAGGGGTTTGGGACAAGGGGTGGAGGGACATACACTGAGCCCTGTAGACAGACTCCAGGCAGGAGGTGAGCCGTAGTATGCTCTGGCCCTGTGTGACTGAGGGACATGAGCCAGAGGTTGGTCACAGGGTGAGTGTCAGGACTGACTAGAGAGCTGGGGTCCTTGGGGGAGAGGAGAGGACAGTTGTTGTGGGATGAGCAGCATGGGGAGCTCTCTGCTGCTCCAGAGGGATCCCTCCAATGGCACCACAGCATTAGTCCCCAAAATCACTCCTCACCCTTCTCCTTCCTTTAGCTACTAAATCCCTCCTTCTCTTTGAGGGCAGGGAATATTAATCCTGTGGGGCCCTAGTGATTTGGGGGACACACCCCAAGACACCTGGAGATGACTAGAGATTCATAAGGCTGGTGCTCAACCTTACCTGAAAACTAGGTCTCCTTAACTGGTCTCAAATTGGCCACCCCAGACCTAGCCACATCTGGGAAGGCTAGCCTATACCTCCAGCCCTGCCTGGCTGGAATATAGCCTTCACAACAGAAGCCAGGAGCAAGTGATGCAGTAACATCTGTCCAAGTCTGCCAACAGGCTTCCTAGCCCCCGCCCTGACCTGAGTCCAGTACACGGCCTGTTGACTCTGAAGGCTAACAATGGCTTTGCTGTGACTGCTCTCTAGCTCCTAGTCCTAATGTGACACTCTTCTGTTGGCTGAGCCCACCCACCCTGAGCACCCGTCACCCACCCTGCGGCACCTACTGGAAAGTCTCCTGGGTGGTGCAGAAGTGCAGTGGGGCCAGCCCCTCCTCTGACAGCACGTTGGCGTTGGCCCCATAGCTCAGGAGCAGCCTGGTGCATTCTGCGCGGTGGTGGGTGCAACTGTCGTGCAGGGCGGCTCTCCCCCCAACCAAGGAGTCGATGTCCGCCCCCTGCATGATTAGGTGCTTCACACAGTCCCCGTAGCCTCGGGCCGCTGTGATCCTCAAGGGGGACGTGTGCTTCTTCTGCGGACTCAGCACCCACAAGCCTGCAGTGTTCAGGAATGGGATTTCTCAGAGCCCCTTCCACAGGGCCTGGTGGGCTCACCCTACCCCATCTCTGAGCCCAGTGATGCTCAATGTGTGGCTCTCCCCTTACCCCTGTTGTGAGCAGCACAACATGTGCTGAGCACTTTTAGACACAGTGTGCCCCCCACCCCCACTGGAGCATGCACATGTGACCACATGGGCTGAAGCTGGGTCTCTTGCATGGATGGTTTGTGCTCAAGTTACCCTGGCGGTTTGTTGTTGTTGGTGGTGTGGCTCACACTGGCTGCTCATGTGAGCTGGGTAGAGCTGACTGTCATTGAATTAGACCTAACTTACTGCTCCCACTGCCCACCCCCCCCACTCAGGGTGTGGGGGAAAGGAAAAGAAGGTCCAGGTAAGGTGTGGGGGCTGGTTCAGACCAGAGAGACAAGTCTGCGGGCTCTGGACAGAGAGCTGGGGAAAGCAGGGCTCCCTTCCTGGCTCTGCCATGGACATGCTGCCTGGTGCTTTCCTCTTACATGCATGTCCTGCTTGATCAAGCTGCCTGCAGGACAGGGGATCTCTGGGCAGCGCCTGGCACAGAGCAACCCACATTTCAGCCAGGGTTTTCTGGTGCTGCCGCAATGCAAATAAGCCCAATGATGCCCTGCTGGGAGGCCCTGGCTCTCACTAGCAGATTGTGACCCCCCCTTACAGCCAGGAAGAAAACCCAGGCATTCCCAGGGGCTTTTGATTAAGCCTGCTTGGTACCAGCCCCTGACAAGCCTGGGAGTGAAAGGTCTCTGCCTCCTTTGCAGGGATCATTTCCCCAGGGCAGGAGGAGCGACCAACAGGCAACTCCAGCCTTGCACTGATCCCAGCCCTGCCTGAAAGCCCAACCTGCCCCCAGCCTCCGTACCCAGCTCTGCCGACCACAGCAGCTCCTCGCTGACGGTCTCCATGATCATGTTGGCGGTGGCCTCATCCTTGAAAATACTCTTGATCCGCTGTAGGTCACCCGTGTACAGGGCGTTGTGGACAGTGGGGTCCCGGCAGTACTGGGGTCTCCGGGCAGGCTTGGCCAGTGCCTGGAAGCTCTGGGTGGTTGTGGGGAGCCGCCTGCTCTCACACTGCCTGGCGAGGGCCCGCCGGCGGTCCTCCAGCTCCAGCAGCTCTCTCTGGAGGCGCAGGGAGCGCAATGTGGAGGAGGTGAACACAAAGGTCTCTCCGGCCATGGTCTCCGAGGGATGGGCAGGACAGCCTTAGGGAAGAAGTGCCCGTGGCTACCTTCCTCAGGCTCGGAAATATGGTTGTGCTAAGAGCACCCCCCTCCAGCCCCTCCTGCCGGAAGCTATAAATAGCGGGGAGACTTGCCCCGGCCGGCACCAGATTTTTGTGCAGTGTCACGTTCCCGCAGGCGGCTGGTCTCGGAGCCAGGGCCTGGCCAGGGGCTGCTGGGCACAAGCCCCACTTGGTGGAACTAGCATGGGTTGCAGGCACATGCTTGGGGTGAGGAGTTTTCTCCCTCTGCAGCAGGATCACCCAAAGACCTTAGGTGCCTTCAGAAAAACAACAGCCCCTGCATTGTTGCCTCAGCTCCCCCATGTGCAAGAATGGATAAGGACACCGATGTTCCCAAGGACCTCTGGATGATGAGCACTGTAATAGCCAGAGGCCAAGTGACTGGCCTAGGCTCCTTGTTACACAGGGGAGGGCTCTCAGGTTGTCAGCCTCCCCAAGAAAGTGGAGGAAGGCAAAGATCTCAGGGTCCGTTCAAAGTAGCTGTGGCTCCAAAGCTATGGAGAATTTCCCTGTGAGCAGAGAAAGGATCTCCCACTCAAGGCACCTGCTGTAATCTACCTATGTAATAACTCTGTGGTGGAGTGTGGGGTTGTCTTGCAGGCAAACCAGAGCTTGAGGCAAGGGTACAGTCACATATAGTGCTGCCACTTCCATATCCCTGCTCCCCAAAGGACAGGTGTAACAAGCACAAAGGACGCCACCGCCTGCTCCTCTGAGCCCCGCAACAGGGCAGTGCATTTTCCTGCATGCATTCACGGTACGGAGGTCTCCACTTTGACTGCCCTCTGGGCAGTTACAGCCCCAATGTGAGATTTAGGGCCCACCTGGGAGATGTAGCTTTTGGGACAGACAGCCCAGGCCCCAGGACACAGGCAGTGACAACACGCAGGGGGTACATAGAGGTGCACGTGCACCCGAGAGCACCAGTGCACCCCCTGCCCA